CGCAATTATCCGCCTCCAAGAGAAATAAAGCGTAAAATATTTCATAATCAATTTTTATTTACAAAATTTCATACCGGCCCTATGTTGCTACTAACATAATGCCAACGTTGGCCCGATTATTTATAACCAACATGAGATAATAATATTGATTTACAACAGAAGGCCAACGTTAGGCCAATGTTGTGCAGCCAACACCAATGTGCGACCAACGGACCGACAATTTGCCAACGTTGGGCCAATGTTGTGCAGCCAACACCAACGGTCGACCAACGGACCGACGATTAGCCAACGTTGGCCCACTGTTAGTCTGTTGACTGGGTAATTGGTTGTTACCTGAAATCATATTGATATAAAGAGTAACTTGTAATGTTTAAATCTCTAATTCTTACCCGATTTATCCTAATCAACGTGAGTTTCGTCTGATTTCAGTTCTTCATTGGTCAAAATTCAATTATGACATCAAATTTTCTTGTTTTTCTCTGAAAATTCTATTGTGACGTCATGAAAAAGGCGATCATGCCTGATGACGTCACATGGAAAGAACACATCTTTTTGCAGATCATTCGAAAAAGATTAAGTGTGTCTAAATATCATCTAAAAATCATTAGAGAAACAGATTTCACCACCAACTCTCGTGTAATACGATATTTATTCACTCTCGACAGTTGAATTTTAAATATTTAAAACGCTCGGCGAGCTTCGCGTTTTAAATTTGAAAATTTAACTTGTGACTGGCTCGAGTGGATAAATATTGTATCACACCTGATGCAGTGGTAGAATCTATATATATATATAAAAGGCAAATAGGATGTTTAAACAAAAGAAGACGAATCTATTCAATAATCTGTAAATTTTACAGCTAATTACCAAATAGTTAGCTTTTTTTTACATATTGATAAAGACAAATTCTAAGCTAATACGATTTGTCATGTAAGATCAACAAAACAATCATAATACAAAACCCATTGTTCCAAAACAAGTAACCTCTGTGATCTAAGGTCGTCACAAAGTGTATACAAGTACAAAAGTGTTAAAAAAAATGTCTATTAAGGCCCTTCTAACAACATAGGGTTACCATCTTGGGTTCGTCAAGTGTAGCTACATGTGCATGGTGTGTATTACATGTACTGAAATTAGAAATACTACAAGCAAAGTTCACAAAATTCCAGCCATATTCGCAAGAGACCGGCTGTGGTTGGCAACAATAAAATCAAGCATCATCAATATCTTACGCGGCATTCAAAAAGTTCTATGCCAGACTTTGTATACTTAAAGTGTGTTTGTGACCTTCCCCTTTCAGATAGACTTTTGACCCTCTGATTGTGGGCAAACATATTATTAATCAAAGTATTATTGATATCAATCAATGCATTTAACAATTCTGAGTTTAACACGAATTTGCATATTTGAGCATGGGGATGTAACGTTGAACTCAGTTTGTGACCTTGAAATATCAGACACACAAAACAACCTCATTCGCAACACACCTTCTTGTGGTGGGGAACAATATTACCTAGTAACATCAATATCAATTAAGACACCCAAATTATTTCTGACTCTTTATAGCTTACTATGATGAATGGGTTTTGCTCATTATTGAAGACAGTCGGTGACATATAGTTATTATAATACCTTCTACAACACTTGGTCTTTGGTGGAGTGTTGTCTCATTGGCATTCATACCACATCGTTTTATTTTTAAATTCAAACATTTTGACATGATTTTGTATATTTGAATATTGGTAATTAGAAACATTACAAAGACAAAACATTCTTTATTTGGTAAGATGTGGTTTGCTTTTTCGTCATTTTTTCTTTTGCCTATAAGATGTCTTCTCCGACTTATGATTCCGACAATTTCATTGGTATCTTCTTACTTGTCCTTATTGATGCAACGATTGTTTACGTTGTCTCTCCCCTATCCCTTCTTTTCGCTTTGTAATTGCGTGCGTGTCTTATGAAGAACGTAATAGTAAGTACGATAGCACCATTATAGGTCTTTAAAATTAGGAACGTATAGATCTGTCAACTTATTCGTTGACCGACATGACCGATAAAATTACTGGAATTAATTTAAAGAAAACTTCATACCATTTCTATATTTCCTCCTGGAAAAACGTCGCATGTATTTTTTAACTCTTTTAACTGAATGTTTCCTCCATTTATATGATGGTTGCATCCAATATCTGGAATGAAACGGTTTCTTACGTTTACGAGTCCTCCACGGACGTCTCCACCACCCTGAGTGCCAACTTAATCCTTTACATGACATCCAACAATGAGGGTTATCAGGGGTAGTCTGTGTTGATGTGCTGACCGTTTTTGGTGATGTTATAGCATTCGTTGTTGACGTCATTGTTGTAGTACTGTGTACCAGTGAGGTCAAGATGTTGGGAGTAGAAACAAACGTTGTTACTATGGTAGTGTCTTGATTTTTTGTCGTCGGTTTTGGAAAAATGGACGTGGAAATTATTGGAGTAACACTGAAATTAATGAATACATATGAATAACATGAAATTTCGGCCAACGAAGTTGCAACCGAACTTCTGAGGTGCACACATTAGACATTCATCCATATCTATAGCTGTACACAAGTAGAACAAGTTAGCTGTGTTTGATAACTATCGTGTTTGCACATTTAAACGATCAAATATGTTGTCTTAATCTCATGTTTAACTCAAAGCAAAGAAACATTTAAAATGTACATGTATTTCTTAAATGTATGAAACAGTGTAAAAATGACTAAAATTGATCACAATAAATCTTAAGAATTGCATCCAAGTATTAAGAACTGGATCTTCCTTCACTTTACCGAATGAAAAGAATGTCCAACGTAGATACAAAATCTTTATTAAAGAAGGACATAACATACTGTGGAAAACAATCACTCGAAATAAATCGCTCTCTAAAACTGACATTGATTTATTAAGTTGCTTTTTCTTTTACAACATATTTGTTATGTTAGGTTGACCAATTTTTCAACAAACAGTCGGCATTCCTATGGGAATCAATTGTGCTCCACTTCTTTTGTATAAGGCAAAACTTCAAACAGAAACTGCTCTACAAAAATTGAAGGAAGCTATGATTATCCTTTAGTTTAGGGTTCCGTTATATAGATGTCATCTCATGAAATAATTAAAAGTTTTGTTAAATGTGTCTATCCCGTTGAGCATGAAATGAAGGATACCAAAGACACAGTTAAGTCTTGTTTCATATTTTGAGTATAGGCCTTTGAGAAGTTTTTACTAACATCTTGAAATTGAGAATGAGAGTCGGTTAAGAACTAAAGTTTACGACTGAAAAGACACTTACTATTATACCATTGTCAACTTTTCATTTCTATGTAGCATCTTTCAAGAAACACTTGTTTATGAAGTATAATATATCTCCTTCATGATACGATATTCAAGTGCTTTAGTTTTTTATAATGATTTTCTTGAAATAATGATACTGCTTACAAGAGAACTATTAGAACAAAGGTCCTTAATGGTAAAGTTGAATTTTCCTTTGAAATTTGTACGGAACCCATCATGATTTGGTTGACCTTCATAGAAAAAAATGTGTCACAGATGACCACGGATATGTTCAACTTGTTATAGACACAATACTGTCCTGTTTCCGTCAATTTTGACTCACTGAAATTGACATATAACGAATTTTATTGCCACAAGCAAACATAACAGGTGCGACTAGGGAAGCAGGAACTGCTTATCTCTGCGGAGAATATGTGTCCACTCCGAATTTTGTGTTAAGAAGGGGTTCGTGTTTATTTTGCTTTAGTTTTCAGTGTTGTATTTTGTGACGTTATAATTTACAATGTCTATGTTGTTGCTATCGGTAACAGTGTTGGCCCATTGGTGGCCTTCGGCTGTTGTCTGCTCTATGGTCGGGTTGTTGTCTCTTTGACACATTCCCCATTTCCATTCTCAATTTTATTGTTTATCCATCGTCCGAAAACAAAAGTGCTGTTAGTGTAAACAATATTTTATTGTGAATTATACAAATTAAAATATATTCACATTCACAAATAGGATTCAGAAACAAGCAACAAGTGCGTATGTTAATCTGTCTCCTTAAGTGCTATTATTTCAAACTTTATCATTCGATCAAGTATTAATGTTTGGGGACTTACATACGTCGATGCATCGGTATTTTGTGTTGTGTCGGAGTTTTTTCGTAGTTTTTAGGGGCATGTGCGTTTTCCCGTGAAATCAGGTTATTGATTGACGCCTTGGTATCGATCTTCGAATCCATTAGATTTTCAGAAAACAAAAACGCGAAATAGACTTATGACTTTCTCTGAAATGGTCAATGATTAACTAGTCAAAATAGTGAGATGGGATGAACTTTTGTGACTTTTTTTTGTTTCTATTTATTATAACTTATAAAAACCTGGGTGTGTCTTTTCGGAGGTCAGTACTTGATAAAATCGTGATTTCGGTGAAGTGGCTTGTTGGAGAGGACATTACATCAGTTGCTGACAAATCTCTAGTACCAGTTGAATACTTCTGTGTGCTCGACATTGTTGAAGGATATTCAGTACCAGTTGAATACTTTTGTATGCTTGACATTGTTGAATCAAATTCAGTACCAGTTGAATACCTCTGTGTGCTCGACATTTTTGAAGCCAGTTCAGTACCAGTTGAATACTCTTGTATGCTAGACATTGTTGTATACGGAACTGATTGGATATCAGTGGATACAAATAATGGAGTTTCTGAACCGGACGTTTGCTCGGAAGTTGCTAATGTTGTCCTTACATTGTCTGTAATAATACTATTATCAGAGATCCTTAAAATTTCTACAATACAAATAATTCTGGTTCTGTAAAGCGGGAAATATTCGTGAGGGTTTTATTTTCCCTAATTTCGCGAAAATAAACAAAATTGAAAAATATTCCCTGGCGGAAGTTTGATCATTTACGATAGATCAAAATAAGGGAAATGGAAGTTGGGAAACACAAGCCTCTCGCTCAGGTTTGGTCCTAGAAATCTTGATATTTAGATATAAGCTACTTTACAACATGTGTTTAATTCTGTCGTATCTAGTAATTTAAAGATTAAACCTTTAAGTAGTACAAGAAACATTCAACAAGATTTATCAGATACAGCTTTACATGAAACAAAGAGGCTATGTTTTTTTAAATAATCAACAAAATGTTGGTTTTTTGTCTGAGAGAAATTTTTTTGTTTTTCGACGCTATCAATCAAATTATTTTTTTTTAATTTAACACAGTGACTGTAAGGTATGGGAAAAATCTGGATTCAGAATATTTTTTTTTGTCATCTGACACACATTTCTTGACCACAATATTTTTTTTCAACAAATTGAGGATCAGAATATTACCCCCCTCCCCCCACCAAATGTCAGAAAGTAAACATGTTGTAAAACTGCTATTAGTTAATGCTATTGAGATCTTTTGAATACCAGCGTTAAGACACATGACAGTGGAAAAAGGACATAGTAAAATGAGTTATAAAAACCCCGATAACTCTACTGCACATATGTAAGATTTTTCAATTTGAAAAAAATCAATTTTTAATTGAAACATAAACGTCTATAATAGAATGTTATCCAAGATTGGTATTTCAGGCGTACGGTGCATAACAAATTAACATACCTTTCCGATAAAGTTTTTTCGATAAATTTATTGTTTTGCAAAAGTAAAAAGATAACATACCGGAAAGCAAACTCCCTTAGTGTTAGAAATACAGACAACACAATAGCAAGAGAAAAAAATGTATAACAAAACAGCAGTCTACAAATTATTTCACAGATAAAAAGTATATTTGTATTAGCAACACGAACTGCATCAACAACCCAGCTATGTAAACTCAAGGGTTCCGGAAGAGGTAAGCATGTCCTACTCTAGACTTCGAATGAATTACATAGTACCAAGAAATCAATTTGAAATATTGTCTTTTTTACAGGGGTATGGAACGCCGACACTGTCTTATTATTAAATGGGGGTTACAAGTCTAAAAATTTAACATGGTCTTTCTTCCATATGTTTTAAAGTTATCAACTAGTATTTCAAATCACAAACTGTGAAGCAATTTTACGAAATTTTGAAGGGTCAACACCTTTACCTGTTGTGATTCTGTCTGTAAACATTTCGGAATCTGGTGTTCCGAAAGTAACTGAAGTCACTTCCATTTCCGTTGTAGGTTCCGTTGCAGTCGATGTTAGAATAGAAGACTTCGAATATGGTTTTATACTACATTTACGACAACAGCGGACATCTCGTGTATAATTATCGTACGTAGCACACAGGCTTGCATTACACAACGACCATCTATCACCATATTCGCATCCTGTTGAAAATGTGTAAATTGTAAGTCATTTATTTGTAATTCAGTATTGAAAGTCCAATAGAGACCAGTTACCTTAAATGAATAACTAGTTGACAAAATCAATAACTTAAGCATTGTTAAGGCACATATAACTTGTTACTAACAGATTCTTCTAATAAATATGCTAATCAATATCTTAAATTAAGGTACGAGATCACAAGGAATGATTGATTGATAGTTGATTGTTTTATGTCCAGTGGCAAATATTTTATTACTATTCAGTACGAGGGGGATGGGCATACGTAGAGTGCAAATTTACCTCCAATACCAGTGTACTGATCAGCACAGGATTGACAGCAAGTAATTCTGAGCTGTGGCTGATAACAGTCAAACCCACGAATGGATATCCTCTCCTTGCATATGTCATTATTGGGTGGTATAAATGGCTGATCTCCAAAAGGACAATCCTCTGTTAATACAAACAGTAAGTGGTCAGGGTTATGGAAACAACAAGATAGTTGTTGAGTTTTCGTGTAAGAACGTTTCTTTTTTTTTCAATTCTTTGTTATTAATTGAATTACTTTCCAACATTCAAAAACTGGGGTTTGCAAATTGAGTACTAGGGGCAATTTTCAATAATATATAATGAAATATTCTTTTGACAAATAAAGATAGACTGAATCTACGCTCCGTAAATTTAATTAAATTCAAATTGTACACAATCATTATATAAACAATATGAAATAAATACAAGAGTGACAACAGTGATTACCTACCTAGCGTTTCATTGGCTCTTTCAGCAAAAGAACATCGTCCTTCAAAGCATATCTGAATAATGATTTTAAAAAAAATGGGAAATAAGAAAAGTTATTCATATTTTACAAATATTTAATACAATTACCTTTAGTTTTTATATAGAAATATTTTATAATTTCTGTATGTTATATACATTGATTTGTTTTCTTTTTTTTTTTCTTTTCCTATTTACACGTCTTACATGTGTAATTATGAGTCAAAGAATTCAATGATCAAGTTTTACTGTGATATTTCTTTTTCTTTTTCAACATTCTGTTGTACGTCTAGTCGTTCATTATGGTTTATTATATATTTTCCTAGTAGTATGCGGCGCTATTTACTCTTTTATTTCCTCTACTTCAATGAAAGTTGTTGATTTGATACATCGTATAGTTCCATCATTATGTTAAATATCCTCGTCTCCCTCAAAGTATCAAAAACATTTCTTACTACTCATCTGTAAGTAGTATTACATATTCTCCTTAACTGTCAATGAAACTTGCATATTTGTGTAGTATTTCTTTTTATCATTATACGTGTCAGTGAAACTTACCGATTTGTTACTACAGAGAGTTCTTTCTCCAGGTAGCATTTCCTTTTCTCTGTCTATGTGTCAATGGAACTTACATATGTGTTACTTCAGAGAGTTGCATCTCCAGGTTTTTTTCTTTTCTTCTAATTATTAATGAAACTTACAGATTATTTCCTGGTTTGTATTTCCAGGTAGTATTTTTCTTTCTTCTAAGTGTCAATGCAACTTACAAATGTGTTACTACACAGAGTTTCATTTCCAGGTAGTATTTCCTTTTTTCCTGATGTCAATAAAACTTACAGATTTGTTACTACACAGAGTTCCTTCTCCAAGTAGTATGTCCTTTTCTCCTACTAATGTCAATAAAACTTACTGATTGTTACTACACAGAGTACAATCTCTAAGTAGTATGTCCTTTTCTCCTACTAATGTCAATAAAACTTACTGATTGTTACTACACAGAGTACCATCTCCAAGTAGTATGTCCTTTTCTCCTACTAATGTCAATAAAACTTACTGATTGTTACTACACAGAGTACCATCTCCAAGTAGTATGTCCTTTTCTCCTACTAATGTCAATAAAACTTACTGATTGTTACTACACAGAGTACCATCTCCAAGTAGTATGTCCTTTTCTCCTACTAATGTCAATAAAACTTACTGATTGTTACTACACAGAGTACCATCTCCAAGTAGTATGTCCTTTTCTCCTACTAATGTCAATAAAACTTACTGATTGTTACTACACAGAGTACAATCTCTAAGTAGTATGTCATTTTCTCCTTCTAATGTTAATGAAACTTACAGATTTGTTACTACACAGAGTTCCATCTCCCGGAAGCATCAGGCTACATATCTGGGACTGTGGTACATAACAATACGCCCCGTAACATACTGAACCAAAGTCCGACCCTTGTAAAGCCTGTTAGGAGTATAGATTAAGTATAAATATGCAATAACAGAGACTTATGTATGATAACTATCTTAAAATATAAATCATGATCAGGTCTAGTTACTGAAACATGAAATATTCTAACGTGATTGCAGTTAATATCATTAAGAGTTTTTGCTTTCTTTGGAAGTTTAACTCCGTATGTTTGTTTCCAGAGTAACATATCGCATTACAAATGCAGCAATTTTGTCAATTTTACAACTAACTACACAGCCCCAATCAACCATCCCCTGTCTTCTGAATCAGAGTGAAAATTGCCGAAAAATAGAAAATCAATTGAGTAAAAAAAGTCTATAGATTAATTTTATCTATTACTCCTTCGAAACAAGACATTTCAGTGAATCTATTGCAGAAACTTTAGTACATGACGACATTGTCAGCATGTTTTTTTTATCAGTTGCAACGTATTTGAATGTCAAAAGAGTATATATCCATCTTGTAAACGCTATATGTCAACCCCTTCCCCTATAAACACGCCTTAGATCCCTATTTTAATTAAGTTTCCAGTAGCTAAACCGAGAGAAATAGGAAATTCAACCAATGACGTGACGTTATTATCATTTTGAAGTACGAACAATGAAATTACCCACAGTCCTTTAGATTCTGAAACAGAAAATTGATTAAGGTGGTACCAAACACCTTGACTAATATTAATTTGGCTCGTTTCATTTTCATAAAATTTTGACAAAATGTTTACTTTGACCCTTTGACAAAAATATAAAAATTTCAACAAATTTGAACCAACCACTTTATCAGAAAAATTTCATTGGTTATATAGCAGTTTGACAAACACTAATTTTGATCATTGAGAAGCTTAATATTTCCTTAACAATACAACGTAATTAAAACGTTTAGCTGATTTTTACAGAGTTATCTCCCTGTAGTGTTAGGTACCACCTTAAATGATTTAATGAAATAAAATTTTGTCTTATCTTAACAGAGTATCATTAGCTGTATTGTCAAATATACCCTGCACAGGAACGATTCTCGACCATAAACAGTTCTACATTGGTCATCGATGTTTACTATGTCAGCTGACCTCTGACGTAAAAATTCTGGTACATTAGCTATGTATGCTGATGGCTCCGATGTCAACAAGCAGTTTTCAGTGGTTCTTGAAAAAAAAATCCATTTATGAGACGCATTGATACGTTAAGATTGTTTCGTCACTTTCGATATTGTTCATTAGCCTGCAAGCAATTGAAATTCAAATTTAAAAAATAAATCTGCAGAAAGTTGCTAAGTAATTATTAACCAAAAGCAACAAAGTTTTCATCAAAATGTGACCATTGAAGAGAGATTTTTCTAAAAGTGAGGATACAAGAACATAATTATATTATACTTCGGGTGGAAAATACTTATCTCTATGGGTAATTTGTTTTTTTAATTATTTCAAATGTAAACAATATTCTTGAAACATTTGATATAAGTAACTCCACCCCTCCCACCTTAACAAAACTATTTATTATCTGAATTATAAGGTATACTTAGTCTAATTGTTTTATGAAAATTATAGTGTGTACTATTTAATGCCATGATATATCTGGTTAGTATTCTTGAAACCTTTGAAATAAGTTACGCCACCTCCTTCTATCCTCCAAAAATGTATGTATTAATGTTTTATTCTTAATTATTACATTATTTTATGATTTATTGTACATACGGATTCAGTATTATAGTACAAAGTACATGTATACATTTAATATATTATAGTACATTGTACATACATATTTAGAAGATCTGTGATGTACTTCTCAAAGTAGTCAATGGAACACGAGGAAAATTTCCATAAATTTGGAGCTTTACTTTTACTCGGAAAAGTAAATTTTGAAGTCATAATGTTCAGTTCGAATGGAAAACAGTTGTTACCATCAAAATCTTTTCTTGCACCAAGGCTGAAAAAAATAAAACATAACAACATGAATAAATACGTATGGGTGGACGTGGTTGAGGCAGTAACCCAAAGTTTTGATTAACCAAATGATATCTAGAGGTAAACATGTGTTTATACTAATACTAGTACAGTATTTAAAAATAGACAGGTGTCTTAAGAATATGTCAAATTCTAAATCGTTTAAAGTCGAAAACAAAGTGTGTAAATTTAACAGCGACGTTCTAAGCTCTTTCATCACCTCACTGAGTTCTCCAATTCAGGCGAAAAAATTTATATGAGAACATGAATGGGAGAGAAGGAATGTTGAAACATTGTAGTAATATAATGAAAGTTGGTGAGTCAATCTCATTGACCTAAATTAGTGGCGGAGTATACCAAAGAGAGATTCAAACTCGTGAGTAGAAGACAAACCGACAATGCCATTGCAAAAAACGAAAACCGATCACAGGACAAACAACAGTATACCAAACACATTGTAGAAAACTAAGACTGCGTAACATGAACCCCACCTAAAACGTTGGTGATCTAAGGTGCTCCGTAAGGGTAAGCAGATCCTGTGCCACATGTGGCACCCATCGTGTTGGTCGTCTAATTACAAATTCTATGATAAATCTAATTTGGTGATGTCGCAATCGAGACAAAGAGGACAGGTTTGTGGTAACGACAATTGGATATTATTATACCTCACAGTATAATTGAATAAATCTATTGGCTAATAAAAGATCACGTTGTGTGAATTTATTCGGATATTTTCGTCCAATTCGTCAGGGGCCGGTGAATAACCGCGACAAGTTGTTCCGTCTGGTGAATAACCCTATTATTCATCGCCAGTGAGGCCAAATTGAATGCCAATATTTGTTCGGTATAACAAAGCAGTTACAGCCCTAACAGTCGGGAGATATCCAAAAATTCCCCTCGAGCTAAAATCCCTTAGCAGGGTGGACAATTTTGGATATCCCCATTCTCAGAGAGCCGTAACTGTATAATATCCGTCGTCATCTGTGGAACAGATATTCCATAACTTCAACCATTCAACTCATGATGGCGTCGGTAAAATTTTCAAAGAGATGACTTCAACTTCACAAGATGGAACCCTTGGTTTAATAGCCTTCTTGTATGCAGCAACCCTCTATTATGGAAATTATCTTAGAAAACGCAAGCTCTTGATATATATTCAATTAGCAGAGTTGTTGGAATGTTGCTACATAGAAATGGAAGGTTCATAATTGGCAGGCTAATATCATCTCTTTTGTCGTAAAGCATTGTTCTCAACCGAACCTTATTGTCAGTTTTAAATGTTAGTCATGATAAGAGACAGACTTAATTGTATCTGTTGTATCCCCGATTTCAAGTTCGATGGGATAACTCCATTCAATATTCAATGTAGTCACGAAACTTTGAATTATTTATCAACAGGATATCATCTACATAGTGGAACGTGAAGTTGAAGAATACTGCTAGCTTCTTTTTCATTCTTCATAGGAAGCTCTTGTATGCAGCTGCCTCAATTCGGCAAAAAGCTGAGCACAGTTAGTTCCAGTGGGAATGTTGATTGTTTGTTGAAAAACACTCCTCCAGACGTAACAAATGTGTTGTCAATCAAGAAATAAGCATCTTGATAATGAGAATTGTTTGTTCGAGCCAAAGGTTTTTGTTACAGAGCATGATGTATCCCGCTCTAAAACAAAATTTGGTTTTGTACAAAATATGTAAAAATTTGCTCTGTACAAAAAATATTTAAAATATGTTAAAAGACTTAGTACCTTCTGCCAAGTTCTTGTGCTGCAATGCCAATTGATCTTATATCAGAAAATGATTCCTCGACTACAGCGACCGGTCCTCCCATAGTAGTGGCCATCAGCGAGATATTTTGGCAAACTGAAGAAGGATAAGACAAACCTACAAGAAATCAATGCTCCTCTATTATATTTACAAAAACATATTACGTTTTTACATATTTGTGTGAGGTGTTGGTCCGCAATTGAACAGACAACTGTACATTGGATTCTTCTCGGGGAGTTTAAATTTCGCGATTTAGTTAGCCAAACCTTGTTTGTTTTTGCTCTTTTCTGGTCCCCTATTTTGCTACTTCTTAACAATCAAATTCACACCATGGGATATTTTATTTTAATCGCAAAATTAGCGAAAATTTCTCACTTTAAATTACAGTACAAGAACAGGCAATTGCAACATAATTTGCGCATTTTAAAGTTTCTGTAAAGGAAAATATATTTAGAGTGTTTTCAGTTAGATTGTTATACATATACCATATAAATCCCCCAAAACTTACCCTGATAAAACCATGTGGTCATCAAGAAAAAGGACGGAGATGACCCTGTAAGGATTTGTAGCTTTAAAAAAAGACGGACGCCCGGTATTTCTATGTCCCCCGCACAATGCGTTGCGGGGGACATAGAAATACCGGGCGTCCGTCTGTCCGTCCGGTCTTGTAAGCGCCCGTGGACAAGTTCGAAGATCAGTGCCGATCAACTGTTTTTAAAAGAGTTATGCCCTTGGAAATATTATGTTTATGGAAAATTGAATTGTAAGTACTCTTAAGACTTAATTTTACCAAGATATTTATAAAATGTTTTAAAAAACAAAACAGTAACTGCTCTTGGACAGATAAAATATGTGCAACTTGGGGAATATTGGAACTCTGTTCTTTTATTCCTTTTTCTTTGACCATCGTGTTGTTTTTGTTTGTAGACTTGTTTGCACAATCAGCATCCGATAACTTACATTTTGACATGCTGTATGTTTTACCTGTATTCGAAGCTGAACCGCCATAGGTTAGATTGTATCTGGAATATAAAAAAGAGAAAATAATGCAAATGAAAAAAAGACGTCTTAATGTTTTTATGAGAGAATAAAAAATAAGCCAATGATTTAAACGTGTTTTAAGTGCTCACAGAAAATCGGAATTGAATGTTAAAAAAATACCAATCGTGTTGTCAAAAATGGACAATAAAGGGTTAATAAGTTCAATTCCTGTATTTTAGGGTTATGGTTCAGATAACGGTTATAGTTGGGCTAGGGTTTGTTGCTTCGCATCACGGTGCGGAGCTATTAGTTTCAGTCGACATACACGCTATCTTGAAATAATTACTTATCACAAATAGATTCTGATTGGTTGCTTTATAGTGCGGTTGAGTTACAGCAACAGCTTTTGGCTTAAATGAGAGAAAGAATAACAGACTTTTCTTGTCTCAGGATAAGACATCAAATGCCGGAAAATTAACTATGTGTATTACAGTTCCGATCAACTGTTATTTTTACTATGCATATATTGCACACTGAAATTCAAAATTGAAATATCAATTATTAATACGTGCTTATTTGCTTTGTTAATCTGCAATATGCACCATTTGTTTTGCTAAACAATGTTCCTATTTAATGTTTAGAAAAATGCATTATCTGTATTTTATAACTTCTGCCAAACTAGGCACAATTCCATAGAAGCACACCTCCAGAGTCGTGTTTATTTGTAAATGTTTTACTTTTCAACAAGTAAAGTGAACATTTTTTTTAAAAGCATGGGTGTATATAATAACGCACACTCGTAAAGTAAATCCAATGCATATCAATCAATATCTTAAAATACCACATTTCCAATACTAAATCTACAACTACATGCATACATATTACCTTCAATTAGGATAGAGAGAAACAGTCCTCATCTTTTTAGAAAGCTCAAACTTGTTTTAGGTTAGGGTTAGGATTAAGACTTATGGTTAGGTAAAGGTAAGGGTTAGGTTAAGGGATAGGGTTAGTTTAATGTAGCTCTAAGAGCGTGATGGCTGGTTTCGACACGTACATTATTGTTGGAGACCTCACAATAACCTATGTCTTGTTTTAATGTGTTGTTGGGTTATTTTTTCACTTATATACACCCAATAATTACATTGAATAGCATTTGTCTACAGTTACAAGAATTTTAGGGTCCCCTTCACATATAACGCCATCTGTGGTGTTGTGTGCATATGTAATTGTTTGTTTGTATCTACAAACCCAGAAAACAAAATGGCATAGTCAAAGTTTGGTAAATTTTGAGTGGACACTATCCAGTTCAGGAATCTATCCAGAGCAGATGCTGTGTCGACCATTTCTCTTGGGGATCCAACTTCTGGTGCCTGCTTTATTTGAGTTGTCCATACAGAGGTTTCTGGTTTCTACAACATTGGAAGAAATTTGACGACGATGAAGTAGTGCTTAACATAATACATGTAATACGATATGAATTTGAAACCAGCTTTATATTGGTTTGTTATTTTACGTGCTACAAGTTATACCAGCTCACAAGTAGACATGTTACCCTATCTACTCACATTTCAGGGACTCTGAGCCAACCAGTGTTTGATTTTACTCCTTTATTCTGCGTATTTAGCGGGGAAGCAGTAAATAACAATTCAAATCTTTTGTTTTAACAAGCTCAGAAGATATAAAATCGAAACTGGCAGATTAATGTTCTATATTCTTATGTGTTAGCTAGGTGTTTTGGGTTGGGTTTAGATTTATATTTTTGTGTTTTATTTTTTTTTATTGCTCTTCTCTAGCTGTTTTTCTAACGTTATCGCGTTGCAAATATAAATAGTGCAAAAGGAATATGAAGAGAAAACAAAATCGTTCCATGTATCTTCATCAGATAGTTATATCATCTATTTCATTCTCCATTTTCGAACTGTTTTTTTTTTTATTTTTACATATTTTAGGACTCATAAAATTATTACATTGGGACGTAATATGGGACTTAAGCTTGACAGTTTGAAGACGGAGCTTGACCATACTTTCTGGTGAAAGTTGATACATTCATATGTTATATATAAGTAATACCTTTGAAACATCAAGGTCGCTGTACTTCAGAACAAACTTTAATTCCGAGCTATCTATTCCTTTATAACGCCTGTTAAGCTGTAAAATGGTAAGAGTAATGTTTTGTTAACATCAAAACTCGAAACCAAAGAATAACTCATACTCATAGTATAGTTTATTATGAAAGTCAGTCAATTCATTGCAATTAAGGGTTTTGTATCTATAGTAATGCATCCGGAGGAAGGTTGATAAAAAGGCATTAATTTGCCTATGAAATTGAAAAAAGGAATTTGATTCTTATATACTTACCGACTTTCTTAGAAGTTCATGGTTTATACATGTATTTTGTCATAAATGATAGATGTAGAATTCAAATCGTCATACATGTATTTTGTAACAAATGATTTTACTATTACAATTTTCTGTTATTATATGATTTCTGTATTATGTAAATAGTTCATTTTTATGTTTAAGGAATGACTGTAATATTTTTTCTGTCTATGAAGAAATAACATCAAAAATGTGGTGCACACTGAATAAACCGCGTAACGGGTTATTTTAAAGTGTGCACCACATTTTTTATGTTATTTCGAATAGACAGAAAAAATATTACAGTCATTTCTTATAATTTAATTCTTATTCCATTTTAAACCGGAGTAAACCATGAAAAAACGTTGATGACGTCACGGTCACATAACAAAATTATGTCTATGAGCTGATAAACAAAACAACGTCAGCCAATCAGAAGACGCGTTACATCCAAAATTAAATTATTCAGTATTACATTACCTTATTCCTTTATTTTCCACAGTTTTTTTCTATACTTTCCTATCTCGCGATCGTTATTCTCTAGTCTTTTTATTTTTTGCTAAAGTTTCGATTTTCATTATTTTTGGGAGCCATTATTTTCTATTGTGTTAACCCTGTACAGACCCTCGACAATGAGAAAAAACCCAGAATATACTGTATAGTAAGTATAACAGGCCCTGGCATAACTAGTACTAAATGTGGAACCAACACAGAGAAAACCAACGGCATGGTTTATGCTAAAACCAACAAACGAAAAACATCTAAGGCAGACAGCAACGAATGACAACCAGCTAATTGAGCTCCTAACTTAGGAATGCATCTAAGCATTGATACGAGGCTAAACATGTTTGTGAACGCTCAATCCTCCCGCCTTACGTGGAAAAGTGGTACTGCAGTACAATATATGAACAAACTTTATTTACTAGAGGTGTGTGTGCGTTTGTGAATTGGTGTTTTTCTATTTACACTATGATGCTTTAATCTTTTTTTTCTCTATCAAATGGGACTAGGCAATGTAAGCATTGGTATAATGAACTAACGACATATACAATGTGTTACTCAGATTGAAACACGTTCTCTCATAAGAAGTAAAATACTAACTCCGTCAAAAATTCTGGCATAGTAAATTTCAATGTTGTTTTCTGCATCTGTCGCACTGCCATTGGAGAAGTCTAAAAACCTTAAAATTGAAAATCAAATAAATAGTAACAAATCTTTACTTTTTTCCTGATGCTGATGCAAATGACATAACTTTTGTTTAAATGGCAGTTAATCCATAATTACTATCCAGAGTTCATCAGTAGTATTTACATTTAGGGGTACACCACGGGGACAATCATAAATCAAAAGTAAACAAAAAAGGCAGACTACACCCTAACAAAACGATTGATTGATTGATAGTTATGTGCTTAACGTCATGTGGCAAATATTTCATATATATTCAGGACGAGATCTTATTAACAATCAATACAACGGGAATTGCGTTATTCAAAGTGAAGTTACCAGGATAAAGTGTTGAACATATTAGATACCGAGAGTGTTGGATAGGGAAAGACATTATTTCTTGTAACAGGCCACCTACGAACCTATCAAAGAGTTGTTGCAAAAGATCTTCAACGTGCAGAGGTCATGGCACTCTTTCCTTCACGAGGCATCTGATTTAACATCCCGCTTTCGACCTAGCTGACTTGGGTGCGTACTTATACATCTTGCACAGCCCGATAAACTTATCCTCTTTAGCCTGAGTTTTATTGCCTGTTGGGAGAAGCCCAGGTATCCCCTCGGTTAACTGGCTCCTTTCTATTAACGCAATATTGATCTGTGCGTTCAGCTTGGAAATATATACTCCAAGTACTGCTTAATGTTGCTACATCTAAACTTGAAAACAAAGGACGCCTCTTTACCAATTGAGTATATGAGAGGGTCTGGGTGGGGAGTCCTTCATTTCTGTATTCTTTGATTTTTATGCCATTTTTCTCTATTCTTTATACTTTTTACCCATTATTTTCTATTTTTTATATTTTAGCACCTCATTTTTCTCTAATCTCTTTTTTTTTTTGCCATTTTCTCTATTCTTTCATTATTCTCTATTCTGTTAACCCACACCACACCCTCATATAATTAAAGATCCCACATAATAATTATCATGATGACAATGATAAGTTATTACACAAAATACCAATTGAACCTATTCGAAGATACTTAAAATTGATATATGTGAACAGTCTATCTTCAACCAAGATTTTACTTACCGTTTATACACGGCATAGTCTACTACAAACAATACCTCTATGGTTAGATTTGCCGGCGATGTCGTAGCCATGAAAGCTTGTCGTCGGTATCTAAGGTGAGCTGCAGTAACCAATATCAGTTAATAGTGACAAAACATTTGGCATTTTATATCCGTTTACTTCCAAATGTTCAAATGTTCTGTTAACTTTTAAGTAAGTAATTTAAAAAGAGAACTACAAATGTCAACTTCTAATGTAATTAAACCAAAATTAAAGAAATATATATCAACTTTAATCACTGTATTAATGAAACGAAACTTTAAAAAACAAAGGTATCGACTATACGGTATGGAGTTTTCTAATTGCTTACATCTACTTCATTTTAATGTTGGTGGTTAGTTGTCTCATTGGCAATCAGACCACATCTCCATATTTTTATAATGTAAGCTACAAATAAAATCATAACAGAAATACACCAAATTCAACTTCGGTCAAGTTAAATTCTGTGCAAATTATCATTACTGCAGCTTTTTTTAATGAAAGACTGTAGTTCAATAAATACCATAAATAATCAAATTAATCAAAGTGACTATGTATGAAAAATTAATCTAAAATTCATTAATTACAAATTGCATATTGAAGTGATCAAGCAGAACATTTAAGCAGTTAAACATGCCTTATATATTCGTAGTAAAGCAACTGGTCTATCTACAGCTACATGTTTCTCATAATATGACCACTAGCATGCGCATAACATGTACAGTTTGGAGGGAAAACATGGGTTCCAACAAGCCATTGATCTGAGTTTTTTTTACACATTATAACTACTTTAACCTAAACAAGTTTCTTTTTCCTTTAGTTTAATCAAAAGAAAAAAAACATGCATGAAAGAAATTGAAATGGTAAGTAAATAGATAAATAAATGAATAGGATATTACAAATAAATGAGCATCGAGACGTACTACATCATAACTTTAAAAGATATAAATGTTTTTTTTTATAATTAAGTGAAACCATTATCTATATCAAAAGTAAAAATACTAAGATAAAGATAAAAAGCTGAAAGCGTTTAAATCAGATTAAAAATATTTTTACAGACATGAAATTTGATTAAAGCTTGTATTTCCTTACCATGTTTAGAATATTCCTCTTGTTTAGAACCTAAAACGTACATAACAAACCGTTTAGAATCACTTTTAATTTGACAAACATAAATCTAAAGTTGTCGGCAGTGATATATAGAAAGAGAAAAATAGTAAGACACCGGAATTAAAAGAAAAAGGAAGAGATGAAGAGAGAACGGTGTTACAAAGTGGATATTTTCCCTCGTTCCGCTCCTTTCGCAAAAGTTAAGGACTGTATCAGTCTATGTTTAAAGCATCAATAGTATCTATTGTTATTTTCACTTTAAATGTTCATTATTTGCTCTGTTGGTAACGGTCAAAGTGGAAAGTCTAGTGTTTCTTCCGTTCACAGTATAACGAACCGTCATTCAGAGTAGAACGTACCATGTTTCCTGCGTTAACAGTATAACGAACTGTGTTTCCTGTGTTTAGAGCGGAAGCACATTGATTCATCATTCACAGTGTAACAAATCGTGTTAACTGCGTTCACAATATAAGGAACCGTATTTCCTACCTGCAGAGTGGAACCTAACGTGCTTCCTGCGTTCACAGTGTAATGAACCGTGTTTCCTGCGTTCCGAGTGTAACATTCCGTGTTTCCTGCATTCACAGTAAAATAAGAATCGTATT